AGTTTCAAAAGCGAACGATTATGCATAATAATGATGTTGTTTTTTGAGTGATGAATTGGTTTGTAGTTGATATTTATTAAATATGTACTCGATTCATTGATATCAGTAATAATTCTGATGTACTTCCAGTATGAGAAACATTTTTTAAAATGTTGTTTTATTTTATGAGTCTCTGGATTAGATAATGTCTTCATTCGTCAATAGCTTTCTTCGTTTGAGCAGGATTTTTTTTTGATTAAGTGAATTTTGCTCCTTTCCAACAATTTAACATTTAGTTTGAAAGAGAGCTTTCCTTTCAACTCGTGATTTCCCAATCATATGCAAAATGTTGATGTGGACCAATTCTTTACGTTGAATCGTACATTTAATAGTATATCTCCTTGTATTGTGATTATATGCTAATATTCCACCAATTCATTTATTTCTACTTATAATAAAGACTAGTGCTCATTTCATATTATCATTTCTATGAGTTTCATTGTTGTTGGATCTATCAGATTGCTTTATCTAATGATAATAAAATGGTAGTCATTAGAATAACAAAGACTTTGTTGAACTAGACTGGAAAACTGTGGAGAAGAAAAAAGTGTCTTATCTAGTTTTCGGGTAATAGCTTGATTTCAAATACTAAACGATAAAAGTATGGTGTGTGACTATAAAAATCAAACATGTCGAAAGTTTTTTAAAAGGTCAAATGAAAACTAACATTTGAGCCTTTGTGTGAGTATTGGGTCCATGTGTGGGTGTGTATATCTTCTCTTAATATATAATCACACCCACACCCTAAGAAAATTTTGTCTTGTGTAACTGCAAGTCCAATCTATATATTTTTCCACAGTCTTCTCTGATTTGGGTTGATTTAAAAACTATATAGCTCTTATTACTGGTTGAGCAATCTCTTCGGGGTTAGAATTTTGAACTAGGGTGTGGATGTGAGTATGGATGCGTTGAGTTGAGCATGATTGATTAGAAAAATTACACACCCTTTCGAAGTGGCCTGAAAATATTTGAAAATGAAATGTTGAAAATCAAAATATCGGAATATCCAAGTGCCCAATATAAAACTGTCGAAAGAAATGTTCTACTGTATGAAAGTATACAAAATAAATACTAAAATGAAATTGTTTGAAAAATGACCTTAATTCTCGCTTTCACCATCAAATGATAAATTTATAGGATTAGAGAAAATTCTATTATAAAATACTTGCTTCGATTTATTTATTCATAAAAAAAACCTATAAACGACTGCGAAAAAATAAAATAATAAAATTGTTTAAGCTGAAATCTATTCAAATGACAATGATAAAAGTTTAATGAATAAGTATTTTCATAGAAATATTTTTAATATCGTAGAAATTTTTGTATTCGATGATTGAAACGATCTACAACATAGAGATTGAGTTGATTATCAAGTATGATCGAAGAGGGTGTGTCGAAAAGAGTAGAATTACTGCCAGTTATGCCGGTTCTACCAGCAATAGTTGTGCCATTTGTTTCACCAACTAGATAGAATTGTATTCGTTGATTGTTTCTATCAGCAACATACATATTACCCATCGGATCGAGTGTCACATCTGTCGGAGACTTTAGATGCATTGATGATATACCAGCTGTTCCATTAATATTACCTGCAACAAGTGTCCAACTACTTTCACCTAATACCCAACGAACAATATTGTGAGCACCTGTATTTACAATGAGAAGACTGTTAGACAATGAATCGAAATAAATAGCAGTAGGTAATGACAATTGTGTCTGATTTTTTCCATTACCATTTCCACCAGCAACTAGCGTACCGGAAGAATTATTTTGAAAATAACGCATAATTCGATGATTATTATAATCTGCTATATAAATTGCATCTGAATTTGGATCATGTGCAAGACCATATGGATCATCCAATTGATTTATTGAATTACCAGTAGTACCTATATAATATATATCGATACTAGAATTTGAATTATAAAATGAAGAAAAGAAATTTTCCCTTAAATGAACAAAATTATTAGCAAGTATGAGATAAATAAGCTTACTAGAAATATTCTAAAAGAATTGTATACGAACATTTTTCTCTTACCATTTCCTGCAAATAGAGAGCCAGATGTTGCACCATTGGACCAAAAAACAATTCGATCATTATTATTATCTGATACATAGATATTACTGTTTTCATCGACAATAATACCTAAGGGTCCACGTAGATAATTCAAAGTTAATCCTCCAGTTGTATTAGCTTGACCAGCAACTGTTGTACCTGTCGATATGTCCATCAAAAATTTCTGAACTCGATTGTTTCTCTGATCAGTAACATATAATGCATTAGACCAATCCAATGCTAGATCCCATGGTTGATTCAATTGATTAGAAGTATTTCCAGACATAGTTGTTATGCCGGCTATGGTAATTCCAGATGTATTCCATCGAAGTACTGCTACTTTAGCTATGAAAGAAAATCCTCGGTGAACTTATATATATCGAATCATTTTTCTAACGAAATGCGACTATTTTAGACCGAGTATATATTAAAACTGTGTTTTTTAATCCTATTTGTTGAAACAATTCTTTGATACCTTTGTTTGAAAAATGATTCTGGCAATTACTCTTCTAGATAATCTACATGATTCAGTTGAAATTTTTTTTTATGTGTTGATTCTAATATGAAAAATAGAAGAAGAATAATTATCTTACTACTACTAGTACTTGTACTTGTTGTTTGTGGTTTGATCAAAAAAATGAGAAGTGTTGTGATGATAACCGCAATAACAAGAAGAATACTAATAATTAAGGCTGCTAAACATTGTTTCGAATATCTATATTATAATATGAAGAATATTAAAGGTTCAAAGAAATGGAAACATGCGAGAACTGATAAGAAAAAAAACTTACAATTTCTTTTGATTATTCTTTGAATCTTGATGATGATCATTCGTAGTATTGAAATTATCCAACCATACATTTTTTCTCTAAATTTTTTTGTTTGTCAAAATCAATAGATAATAAAAAGAAATTTTAAAAAAAATGAAATTACTGCATGATGAGCCACTTTAAATGACTTTAATCGAAATTTTCTAATTTTCGAGACTGTTACATAGAGATCATTCCTTTTGTTTTCAAATGTCTATTAATAATATTAAGAAAGATATTTTATTCTTGAACATTAGATTAAACTTACTTGAGGTTGGAGAAGAAAATGACGATGAATTTTATTGACATTAACAAAATTCATTGAATTCGTTTGAAATTCTGATGATTTCTGAATGATAGATGAATTTTCTGATTGATCTCGATAATCATCAGTATTAATAATATTTGAAATCTATATTGATAAAAGAAAGAAATATAAAACAATTAAAAATAGATAAAATCTAACTGAAAATAATTTATTATTATTCCTTTGAATAGAATTATTGTTGATAGGATGACTGATTCGTAATGGTCGAATAGTTGCATGAATGATACTTTTAGATCTTGTTTTCCTTATTGACGAATGATTCTTATAAATAAAACAATCTCTTACAGTATGAAGAAAAAAAAAGAAAGATCTAATCAAACTGACATGATTTGAGAATGTTTCAAAATGATGATCAATGGAAGAATTATTGAGATGTGAACGATTGAAAATTCCATATTCTAAAAAATGATAATTCACATTTGAAACCATCAAACAAAGTATTTCATTATCATCTTTACTTGTGTGAAACAACATTCGACCAGTTATTCTTGTCAATATATTTTCAAATATGATAGAATGATTCTTTTAATTTACTTTTTCAATCAAAAAAAACTATACAACTGATTCTTCTGGCGTCATAAATAAAAATTCAATTAAAATACACTTATTATATTGAAATGCGTCATATGAAATTATTGTATCATTCACAATAGCATTTATATGAATTCATAAAACGAACATCAATAGAAAATAAAAATAAACTTCATCTTTAATTCATTCTATCTTGAACATATAGATGTACATATGAAGGTTGTATCAAGAGAAAACGAGTAAAGCAAAACACTTTATAATGCTGTAATATAAGATTATTATTTGTGACCAGAGGAATTTTTGTTATCTACGAATAAGTTTGTTCATTGGCTATTTAATGTTGCTGATTAAAACGGATTAACATATAGTCATGTTATATTTATATTGTTACATCGTCAATAATATACCATTCAGTACTATTAAATTCTCAAAATTAACGAAATTCACAAACAATGAAAAGTACAAAAAAAGATCAACAACGTAACATATTTTAATTTATTTTTCTTCGTCCTATTCAAATAGAAACAACGAACTTCAAGAAATTTACTTTACTATATTTTTCATTTCCATATTTGAAATTAACAAACATTTTCTTCATGCTCATTATTCTTAGAATTGAAAGATACTTTGTACATTGTATAAAGAATTCTAGATACTTCTCTTTTTCCAATGATCTGATAGAATCAAGAGAACATGAAAATTCTATTTCAAATATTCAACGGATAAGTTTGAAATATATTATTATATGACAATGAGATCAAAAGTGTGGGTGTGGGTGGGTGTGTGGTGTGCGTACGGGTGTGAAGTGTGAGTGTCGACTTGGGCATGAGAGTAATGCCCACACCCACACCCACATCCACACCCTCAAGCAAAAGGGACCTTTGATACCGTGTATGATGCCGGAGAAGATATTTTTCGATCGTTCACCTATAGTCTCATACTCTGTACCATCACACAACGTTATAAATCCAGTCATATACGCTGTAACCAATATGTCATGAATCCTAAACGGTGCAAAATTAGCGCAAATCGGAAGATAGCGAACGTTTGTTCAAAATGTAATACATTAGATGTTATGGTGTTTGTGCGTTGGATTCTAATTTTATATTCATTCATCTACACCTAAAACCTTCCCAGCAACGTGCTCAGTCAACAACCTTATCTACTTTACAGGTTTGTGATACATGTAGTTTCACTCTAACAGACATTCATTCAACGACAGTGTTCTTCACTGACAGTATCGTGGAGTATGCTCAAACGTTGATGGCAGTCTGCTTGTGCCTTCGCCTAGTTGGAACCATACTGTCACGGTATTCGAAACCAAGCACTACCAACTTCACTATCAATGTTCAATCTTGGTCACCACCTATCTTTATTATCAAAATAAACTGATTGACACTCATACTTGAACATGAAAGAGACATAGAAGCGCAACAAATAGTAAAGAACAATGAAAAGAGACTGAGATGCCATGCCCAGGAGTAGATTTAATACTATCATCAGGTAACAAATTCTCCAATTTGAATGTCCATGTCCATTCACTTTGTAGTAAATGAAGTTTGATTGCTGAAACATCGATCACAATACCACGATCTCCACTAGTTATATTCCATGGAACTGAATCAGCAGTTGAACCCAAAAGTGTCACAATTGTTCTTGGAGAACTTAACGGAGCACCAAGTATTATTTCATTGCTATCTTTTGGCCATATAAGAAGAAAAGCATAGACAAATTTATTGTCTTTTGATGACGTATACCTAAGGCAAGAAAAATCTCCGCAACTTCTCTATTTAATTAGACTTACCAAACATTTGGATTGATGGTATCATTTTGATATTTCCATGGTTTAGTAGCATAGATAGCTTCACCATTGACTTGTAACCATGAACCCATCTGTCGAAGACGTTCTTGAAATATTGGTGAAATCTTTCCATACATATTGGGACCAACATTGATCAAGGCATTTCCTCCAGTGCTGAACAAAAAGTAATAATTTTAATTTTTTTAATGAAAATTTTGAACAAAGAAATAGTAACAACCTTATTGTAATAACTATTTCTTTGAGCATTTCTTCAATCGTCATATAATCCTATATATTAGCAGCAGGACGATAACCCCATGATATTTTGTCGATCTATTCAATTATAATAACTATTAAAATTCATTTAAACTTTTGATGACTTAACGTCATACGGTAAAAGCATTTTCCCATTTATGCTCAATTAAATATCCTGGATTGTAACGATCTGCACAGGTATAGAAATCGCCATGTTTACATGGAGTATCTCTACCCCATCGATCATTGACAACCTATACAAACTCACTAGATGTATGTTGATCGTTTACTATAGACTAATTCGTACGACAGTGTCTTTCACAGGACTTTCATTGTAGAGCCAAGCTAAAAATTGAGCAGCCTTCCAATAGGTATCAGGTGCTTCTGAAATAGAATGTAAATACATTCGAAGAATAGAGATCAATTAACAAACGCCATTCGCCATCAGACCAGACTATTTCAGGTTTGTATGTTTCTACGAGTTCTCTGAGTTCAGGCAGTGCTTTCGTCTATAAAGATACATTCTTCATCTAATTCTGTTTCATTCATAGCGAACATTTACCTGTGGAAAGTATTGCGTGGTGAAATTGTTGGATTTATCTTGTAGATAGACTGGATTGAACCATTCAAACAATGAATAATATAAACCAAAGACAAGATTTGTTCGATTTCGAATAGCTGCAGCTAGATCTCCTGAAAATTTCACATTGAAAAAAAGGAAATAGAACTAAGAAAATCTTTCGAACCAAGTAAATTTCGTTTTGGACCAACATGCATGGAGTTCCAATTAAAATTAAATGTCGATGGCCACATAGCATAACCTTCATGATGCTATTTTCGAAAGACAAGAGAAACTATTTCGTTGATATTATAATATCAATGCATTTGAAACTGACCTTGCTAGTAAGAACAACGTACCTGAAGTGAGAATATGAGATATTTCTATGAAAAGCGAAAAGTATCGACTTACTTTGCACCAGAAGCAGCAAATAGATCAGCCCATTCATTTGGATCTAAAATGCAGAGAAATTGTCAATGTTTTCCGAAGAAATTTCTGATTGATATTTACCAAAGAGATCCGCACGAAACTGTGGACCAAAATTTGCATAAGTCCAATCTGGTGGATAGTTTTTCTTCATATAAGCTATAATGTCCTCATGTGGATTAGTACCTTGCCAATACCACCACATCCTATTAATAATTCGAACAAACAATTTTGTTTTTCTTCTGTATCTTTCGAACATATAATAGATGCGTTTCTAGTAACTCATAAAGTAAACCTACCATTCGGTAGAGACAGCTGGAACACTGTACAAACCCCAATGAATGAAGATACCTATTTTACTTTCATCATACCATCTGGGTAATGGGCGTGCATCGAGTGATGTCCAATCAGGAGTATATTGTTGTTCACTCACTGATAGAAATGAACAAGATAGAAGAGCAACGAATATCAGTTTTGCTATGCAATAATACATGTTATTGATCTAGAAAAGAGAGGTAATCCGATAAACGAAGGCATCTACAGAAGAAAAAGAAAAATGAAGAAAATTGAGAGCATGAGCATGGATTAGAATTAGAATTTCATATAAGTCACAATTAGTAATAACTAATAGTTCAACTTCATTTTGACACGTTGGATAGTCAGCATCAATTCGGATATGAAAAATTCGAACTCGTTGCCGGTGATGTGTTTTAAGAAATAAACGATTGATCAGTTGTATTTCAAAATAACTGCACCATATCACAATCTTTGTATTCTTGCTATATAGAGACTTCGATACTCGTTAATAATCGCATTTTACAAAGTCAACAATGAAGATATTTTCTATGTTAGCGGTAGCTAGTTCTATGGCAAACTCACTTTTAAGTTGTATAGTAAGAGAGATTTTCTTCAAATTCGAAAATAGAGGGAATTGCGTTCTGCCACCAATTTTTCGATCACGTTAGACAACATTCGAACAAATGACAGAATACGGATTACTTCTGTCGCTTTTATTGTGCTTCGTTACACAGAAAAAAAAGAGTTCTTGACTTATCTGTAGTGATTTATAAGCTCCATTTATGGCACTTCTTTTAGAGGTTTGAATTTTTTTTCGGAACAATGGCTTTCAAAATTCTTATGAAGAAAGTGACATGCATACGTGAACAATTATGTCTAATATATGCTTACATATCTTTCAAGCCAATTTTATTTTAGACGCTTGTCATCATTAAAACGTTCATTTTTAGAATTCAAAGGTATTTCTTGCCTTTCTTGAAATAAATTTTTCGGTTTTTTGCTATTCTGACGTCGATAAGCTCTTGCTTGTTTCAATATTCGAATGAAGTGTCATATAATCAAGTGTTATATAATCCAGTGTCCTATAGAGAAATGTTTTATGGAGAGAGACTTTGAAAGAGAGTCACGATTAGAATTGTTATATTGATATCATCGCTTTGAATTGTATTTTTTTAAATTGTAGACAAGAAAAATTGTGATAAAAATAACGTTTGAAGCTTCAACTTAAAACGAATGTATGATGAAAGAAATATCGAAATTACAAGCATAAATACTGGAGTTATTTCTTCAATGCTAGACGCTTAGTTAATAATTCATTGAACCGTCAGTAGAAAGGACAGATAGATCATATTCCACTAGAGGTCTACAATTTGTAACATGAAATCTTTTCATTTAGTCGACTTAATTTGGTACGAAATAGTCTCATCTGCAAAAGTATCTCTAATTTTACTAGGCATACCTTACAAAAGTTTGATGTGTGAAATCTCGATATACGACTGTTTTGAAAGAAATTTTGCATGATGATGTCGTAATGAACTATAACAATGAATTTTGATATAAAAGGAAGGCCCTCAAGATTTTTTTTGTGCTGCCTTCAACTTGTAAGTATCTCTGCATTGAATATTTCGATACACATGGTAGAGCGCTGTTAGTAGAGGGTGTGGGTGTGGCTAATAACTACTCATAGCCACACCCTCACCCTATATTTCAATCGAAATAAGAAAATCAGTAAAAAAAATAATCAACAAGATTTTTATATTGTTATTCTTGTAAAAAATTAAATGGTATATCTTTTTTGGAGTGTGGGTGTAGGTGCAGCTGAATAGAAGACGAACATCCACACCCTAGAAAATAATCGCGTCGGAAATATTATTTATCATAATTCTAATAGTTATTGGTAAAAATTCGAAGATTCTTTTATTAATAATAATATATTGTAGATAATCGATTATCTTTATATATAACAACAAAATAAAATCGTGTCTTGATAATGAGCAAATGATTATCAAATGATTGTAGAGATATAAAGCGACAGTCAAGAGCAATATCTAGTGAATATAAAATTTGTGGCGTGCCAACGATATATTCGTACTGCGATGTTATATCATGTCAACCATGCAAAGTTTTTTTCAGACGAAATGCTGAACAAGAACAAGTCAATTAAAAAATAAGTTTTTCGTTTCAATAATGTTTATTTATTTTTCAGGATACATTGAAATATGATTTTGATGGTCATTGTGAAATAAATCTCAATACTCGTCATGTCTGTGCTTATTGTCGACTTATGAAATGTTTTGCAAGTGGAATGCAAACTCACAGGATTCGATCTTTATATCTAAAAACGAACAAAACAAGTCAAAAGAGAAAACTAATCGTTGATATAATTCAAACAACATTAAAAGCTTTAGTTAGATTATTTACTCTCCGTAAAACCTTTCAAAGAAACTTTTATTATTATTTTCAATCATATAGACTCTTAAAAAGTAGTTTACTGAGTCGATAGAAAACATTCAGCTTCATTAAATCATCATGAAAAAAAAAAGAAATTCGTAATGGAGATGAATATAGAATAATATTAACTATATCAATCATACAATTATATTGAAATTTATTATTGAAATAGAAACATTTTTTATTTGAATTTCTAATTCGATCTGTAACAGTTCATCAATTGAACATCACATGTCTGCTGTAATGAAGTTTTCACACATATGATGAATAGGATAAGATGTTACTTCCAGTCGTATCAGTTCTCACTCTTATGAAAAGAGCTGTATAATGGATATCCGCTCACTGCTCAGATGGACCTGTAATACACCTATTTCTAGTGATATAAAAGAAAATGAACTATATATGTGAAGTCCTTTCCTTTGTAACAATATTCTTGTTTATTTATGTTTAGTTTCCAACATTGAATTTGTTAGAACGAGAAAAATCAAAATTAACTGTTGACCAATGAAATCTTATTTTCAATTCATCTCATTATTATAATGAACATCATAGAATATCAAGAGGTAAATGTTATATGCATGAACAAAATAATTTACCAATAAATTTACGTTTTAAAAGTTCAATAATGGTGGAATATCTTCAAATGTCATTGGATTGAGTTCAATCATTATAGAAAAACAATGAAGATTTTCTTTCTTTATCTTCAGATGATCGTTCTATTTTACTTATTTTAATATAATTCGACATACAATAATTCTTTCAGCAAATTACATATTTTATCAAATAGGATTGTTGTCTAATCCTGCTTATTACAATACAATTGAACATGAAATTCATCGAAGTACAGTATCTGTTGTTAAACTTCTTTGAAAATCGATTATTTCTTGCTCTATTCTCTTTCTCAACAATAATCTTTATATATTATTCTGCTATTCGTTCTGTTGATTTCTCAAATATAAAACAAATTTTAGATATTCGAAATACGTATATTTAATTAACATGGAAATATTTTATCTATAAATATGCCTTTCCAACGATCATTAGTTTACAGTTGTTTTATAGTATATATTTTCGATTAACTTATGACAATAACTCCAACTAGATACGTTCGATGCTCAAATATAAATAAAAAAAGATAATATCGATAAGCTTCGTTTTGGTATAATTTCTTGGAATTGTTAATATAACTATTCAAGATTGAAAGATTTTTCAAAAAAAATTGACGAGTATTTTCTTTCGATATAATTGTGGTTTTTGATCTAAAATAAAATAACAGGTG